TGGAACGCAAAAGAAGCGGCCCGTAGGTTTCCCCGCAGGGAGGGCGAGAGCTGGCGCCACATCCTTGGTGTTTGCCGCCCTCTGGTGGCAGCGTGCATCTGCTCCTCTCTGCCTCAAAGCAGGAAGTTGCATCTAAGTCCCTGGTTGTCTGGTGAGGAATCACTTACCTACTTGGTCAATAGCAACAACGATCAACATTTATTCAGCAGTGATTGTTTTTCAGGCACCTGGTAACCCTCATAACATCCCCTGGCACGGTGATGTCAGTGTGGCTACCTGTACTGACAGATAAGGAAACTGAGGCTGAGAGAAGGGGTCGACCTTGCTCATGGACACCTGGGGATAAGTGGCAGAGGGGGGACTTGATCCTGGGCTGGGAGCCTGAGCTCTCAACAGTGAAGAGGAACCTGAGGATGCTACTTGGAGCCTGGAGCCAGCTGAGCCTGAAGCTGGCCTACTCAGACATTTCAGTTACGGGAACCAGTAAATCCCCATTTTTGCCAAAGCTGGTTTGAGTTGCCATCGAGAGACCCTTGGCCACTGCCAAACTGACATTAGTCCAAACCCTGCTCCCTGCCACCCACTGTGTGAGCCTGCATGAGTTACTTTACCTCTCTGATCTCACGGCCCCCTCTGTGCTGTCCCTCCGGGAGTACAGTGGGCATTGACCTTCCTCTAAGCTGTCACTGCTCATAAGATCTGGGCTATACAGTTTATGTCTATGGATGCAATGCTTTCTTACCACTTAGAATTTTCTTTTTCTTTTTAAAATTTATTCATTCATTCATTCATTTTTAGTAGAGGTGGGGTCTCCCTCTTGCCCAGGCTGGTCTCAAACTCCTGGCCTCAAAACTGGTATTACAGGTGTGAGCCACTGTGCCGGCCTTAAAACGTTTTTAAGTGCATGATACAAAATACAGTGCTTCGTCACGCACGGAACGGGGGTCTCTGGCACCTTCGGCTCAGACGAGCCTTGTGCAACACAGTTTGATCCCTGGAGTGACGTCCTCACTTTTTTTTTTTGAGACAGATCTTGCTCTGTTGCGCCACCATGCCCGGCTAATTTTTTCTATACAGATTTTTAGTTGTCTGGCTAATTTCTTTTTTTTTTTGAGACAGAGTCTCACTGTGTTGCCCGGGCTAGAGTGCCGTGGCATCAGCCTAGCTCACAGCAACCTCAAACTCCTGGGCTCAAGCGATCCTTCTGCCTCAGCCTCCCGAGTAGCTGGGACTACAGGCATGCACCACCATGCCCGGCTCATTTTTTCTATGTATTTTTAGTTGTCCGATTAATTTCTTTCTGATTTTTAGTAGAGATGGGGTCTCGCTCTTGCTCAGGCTGGTCTCGAACTCCTGACCTTGAGCGATCCTCACGCCTCGGCCTCCGAGAGTGTTAGGATTACAGGCGTGAGCCACCGTGCCTGGCTGTGATGTCCTCACTTTTTCTGTATTTATGGTGAGATATAAGTCAGGGTCCTGCCCACCCGCCAGTGGACAAACAACGTGGTGCATCCACACGTGGAATATCACTCAGCCACGAAAAGGGACAAGGCTCTGACACAGGCCACAGCGTGGATGGACCTTGAGGACGTCGTGCTCAGTGAGAGACGCCAGACACAGAAGGACACGCAGTGTGAGACTCCGTTTATATGAAACGTCCAGAACAGGCAGATCCACAGAGACGGGACGTGGATTCGTGGTTGCCCGGGGTTGGGGAGGGGGTGGGGGTGACTGCTGAGGGGATGGGGTTCCCTTTGGGGTGCTGGAATGTTCTGGGATTACATAGAGGTGGTGGTTGCACCACTCCGTGAAGATACTAAAAACCACTGAATCGTATGCTTTTGAGTATACAATTTTATGCAATGAGTGAGTTCTGTGTGGTGAGTAAATTTCATCTCACAAGAAACAAAATCACAAAAACCACTTCATGGAGGGTGGAGCTTGATGTGCCGTCTGCACTGAACACGCCCAGATCACCGGCTCTCGGGGGAGAAGTGATGTTGTGGCCCCCAGAAGCCCCAGTGACCTGTCGCCACCCCGAGGGGGACCAGCACCCTGTGTGCTGGTGGGCAAATTCCCGTCATTGCCCACGCCCTCGGGGACAGCGGTGGGACGCCAGGCTGGGGGTTCCTGCGGCTTAAATGTCTGAGCTTCAATCTGAACGCTAGGGTAGGAGGGAGCCTCCTGGAATGTGACCTGCCGGCTGCAACCTGCCCCTGTGGCCCCGTCCCCCAGCCCCAGATGGTGGCCAGCTCCTCTTTCAGCCTGAACTGGGAAACCGCATCCTGCTTCTGGCACCGAACAAGGGAAGCCGTGGCTGGGCTGAGGGCAGGCTTTAAGGCTTTGGGATGGGGTAGGGGGAGAGAGAGGGAAAAGAAAGAGAAAGAGAGGGAAGGGAGTGACAGAGAAACTAACCCTAACCCTAACCCTAACCCCTGCTTCAGAGATGCAGAGACAGATGCAGAGAGAGCTGGGGACAGCAGGCGCTGGCTGAGATCCAACCTGGGGTTAGGGTTAGGGTTAGGGTTAGGGTTAGGGTTAGGGCGGTGACCCAGCGCAGGATGGGAGGCAGGGGGTGCATGGTGGTCTCTGAGGCAGGATCCTCCTGTAGAGGCCAGAATTGGGAGCGGATGTCACTTCCTGCATGGAAGCGGCGCTCAGTGGTGTTTCTGGAACTTCCACAACCCGGGGGCACCGGACAGCCGAGAGGGATGCCGGGAGGCCTTGTGCAGGGGGCAACCTGTGCAACAGTCCTGGGCAGCCCTGAGCAGAGGTGATGGAATGTTGATGGAGAAGGGGGGACATCGAGACCCTCTGTGGTGGGCAGAACAATGGCCCCCAAAATGTCCACATCCTGGTACCTGGGGTCTGTGGGTGTGTCACCTCCCATGGACACAGGGACTCTGCAGATGGGATAAGGATGTTGAGATGGGAGGTCACCCTGGATGACCCAGGGGCCCAGTGTCAGCACAGGGTCCTCCCACGAGGGGGCAGGAGGGTCGGAGGCAGAGAGACTGGAAGACGCTGCACTGCTGGCTCTGAAGGGGGAGCAAGGGCCCCGAGCCGAGGGACGCCAGTGGCCGCTAGACGCTGGGAAAGGCGGGAGACGGTTCTCCCTGGAGCCCCCAGGAGGGACCGGCCCTGCCACACCTTGATTTTAGACTTTTGCCCACTGGAAGTGTCAGGTAATAAATGTGTGTGGCTTCAAGGTTTGTGGTGATTTGTCACATTGGCCGATGGAGACACAGCCTCCCAGCAGAGGGACAGAGGGCGGGGCTGGGCACCCGGGAAGACGGGATGGGAGGTGCTGGACAAGCCCTGCGACCCCCTCCCCAGGGTGTCTGAGGCTCCTCCTTCCTGCAGGAGACACGGCCGGCCCCACACTTGGTTCCTGGGGTTCTACCTATGGACACACACCCTGCCTCCCCCATCAGACCGGGATGTCCCCGGGGACGGGGGCCCTGCCTCCTCCCTCCATCTCTGCCCTGTCCAGACACAGCCCCTCCACCCCGTTCCCTGGCTGACCCGGGGCCCCCACAGCCCCGCCCCTGCCCCAGCTATTTCGGGCCCACATCTGCCTGGCTGGGCCTGGCGCGGGCCTCCCTGAAGATGGGTTCCTTAAAATAGCCGTTGCCGCAGTTTTCCCTGCAGCAGCGGGCGCTGCGGGGCCAGGGCCGGGCCAGGCCGCCCAGGGCAGGAGTAACGCCAGCTGCTCCCAGCAGGGCCGGGGGACCCTGGGGGCCAAGGCTTGTTCTGGGGGAGGTCTGAGGACATGTTCCTGCCACAAGGTGCCAAATCTGACATCAGTCCCCCCCTGTGCTGACAGCTCCACATAAATCAGTCTGTCTGCCTGGTCCTACCATTATCCTGTGTGTGGAGGGGAAACTGAGGCAGGGGTAGTCAGAGGATCCCCAAGGCCACACAGGTCCAGCATCCACAGACTGACCAGCAGGACGCAGCCTCCCTGGGTGTGAGCTTGGTATACACGTGGAGCCCAATTAATCACCCCTCCAGCATCCCTTGCCACCAGGCGGGCTGGGGATTCAGCAAGTGCTTACTAAATGCTCCAAGCACCACCACCGACGTGGTGGGACGGGGCCAAGTGAGTGGTTGGGGGAGGTTGGGCCCAGGGCCCGGCATAACAGAGGCGGCCACTCGCGATTCAGTCACTCAACAAGCACGAACTGAGCCCCTACTGCATGCCGGATGCCGGGGACGCCTGACGTGGCCCCGACAGCCCATCACGGGGCTCACAGCCCAGTGGGGTGGGGCCCAATGTCGCCCAGAAAATGCAGACAGGGAGGCTCCGGTGCCTCATCGCAGCAGGCAGGGGCTGGGCAGGCGGCTCTCCAGGTTTATTTCATGGCGGACGCGGACAGGCAGTTTGCGGTGGGGCAGAAAGACCCCCCTTCAGCCCCCAGATGGAGAATTTTATCTGCCAGGCAAAGGGGGACCCTCCTCCCGGGACTCCACTGATGTCGGAGCTTATGCCCCCAGGTGTTGCTGGGGACACCAAGGGGAAGTTCGAGGGCCGCACTGGGTCCCCAGTCCCGGAGGCCCAGGTCTCGTCCCTCAGATGGCGAGATACCCAGGTGTCCCCTCGCGGTCCGGATTTCTCAGACCCGCAGCTGCCCAGGCGCCGGCACCGCCATGTCCCTCGCCGCGGGGCAGAAACAAACCATGTCTGCAGTTGGCGGCTCCTTATTTCCCGGACCCCAGAGCGTTTGGCGAAGTCTCACAAGCAGAAAGGATTGGCACGAGTCCCTTTTCATCCCTAGCTGTAGACCCCAAAAGTAGAAACGTTTTTCCAGGAAAATAAAAAACAGAAAAGAAAACCCTCCAGCCCCAAACGCATCCGCACGGGGATTGTTGGCAGGAGACTTGCGGTTCTCGGATTGTGGATTGAAACAGGGACTATCGGCGACGGTGGGGGGCTCGGGGCACGGGCTTGGCGGTTCCCACGGGGGTCAGGGCAGGAGGGGGGCTCGCCGGCCCTGGGCTTAGTCCTCGTCCTCACTGGCGTAGATGCCGGACTCCCAGCGTTGGGCCATGGTGTTCTTGTGGCGGGTCACCCGCGTGGCTTCCAGGATCTGCACGAGGGGCATGAAGTCCCCCATCAGGATCCTAACCGCCCCCAGACATCTCCCCTCACTGCCATCCCATAGGCCTAGAAGAGGGGTAAGGTAGCACAATCCCCTCCTCGGTTTCAAACCCTCTACTCATAGTAACGTGACCGAGAAGTGTGGTGACTCATGCTGCGTTCCACAGCAGGGAAGACGCCTGGGTCTGGCGTTTTGGATTCAGCTCAAGGAGGGCCACAAACGTATTCCGTAAATCAACTGGGGGAGCTGGGCTTCTGCACACACGCAGATGCCTCCCTCCCTCAAAGAAAGTGACTTTGTTTGGGGTCTAATCTGCTCGAAAGCCTCCACCATCTGGTAAAGAGGTGGCACCTGGACCTTTCTCCTAAGCCACACCTGTGGCAGGCATCACGAGCAGATCACAGCAAAATCCACCTAGGCAGACAGTAGCAATTGAGAAGATACCAGAACAGTCCCCACGCCCTGGAGACAGGGGGTTTCAATGGCCCCTGTGTGCCCCGACCTGGGAGAGGGAGGCCTGAGCCCTCGCCCCCAGGAGTGCACTCACCTCCGAGTTGATGCCGTCCAAGGGGTTGATGCCAGCGTACTGTGGGGAAGGAATGAGTCAGCTGGGGCTCTCCTGCCCCGCCCGGGACTCCACACCCAGCCCCTCCGTCAACACGTGGGGCAGAAGCGAAGGCGTTCCCTGCCCATGGAGTCGCTGCAAGTATCCCATGATCAACCCAGGCTCAAGGCCACCTACCACACTGTTCCCTCATGCTGTTCCCTACAGTGCAGTCTCTGCCCAACATTCCCAATGATTATATTTCCCTTATAAAAATGACAGTGGCATCTGTGGCTCTCTGTGGCCGGGCCTTGCTCCGAGCGCCTGATACACACGACCCCGTTTCATCCTCCTGCAGAGGGTCAGACGGGGCCCCACTTTACGGAGGAGGAGACCTGAGACCAGAGAGGGGCAGCAGCTTGCTCAGGGCCACACAGCCAGCAAGCGGCAGGGCTGAGATCCGCACCCAGTCACTGGTCCACATCCAGTCTCCCAGGTTGGTGCTGTGAGCAGCAGGTGAGGGAGGCCGGGGTGCGTGTCCCTCTCTGTGGTGTCCAGGGGGAGCCCAGGGAGGGTTGTGGCCTCTTGATTACAAAGGCGGGGTTTGGGGTCAGGCTGGGGTCGTGAGCTGCGTGACCTTGGGCATGTGAGGACACCGAGGGGCTGAAGCTGTGGTTTGTGCCATGTGCTGAGTGGACGCGTGGCACATCATACGTGCAGCGCGGATGACGATGTTAATAATAAATAAAGGTGAAAATAGTAAACACATTCAAATAACGATGGTGACGGTGATGACAGATTGTCACCGTCCTCCTCTGAGCAGAGCCTGCCCTGTGATGACTTCACAGTGGGGAAAAAGACCCCTCTACGTGGCCTCCGAGAGCAGAAGCCCAGAGCTGCGGAGATGCCGGTTTATCGCCCTGTACCTGACTAGGGCACAGTCCTGGGCGGGGCAGTGACAGAGACAGTGTGTGAACAGAGGTCACACTTGGGTCACCTCGGCCTTGACTGGGGGCCATCAGACCTCAGCCTGGGCCCTGGGGGCTGACGCCAGACTCACCCACTGCTCCTTCTTAATTCTCCACACGGGAGCGCCATCTGCCGCGTCTTCTGTCGTCCACACCACACCCGAGTGCAAGTGGACGGGGCTGAAGAAGGGTGACTCCGACACCGAGTAGCTGCCCGTGATGCCTGTGGGCACAGGAGGAGGAGGGGGCATTGGGAGGGCGGAACCTTGGGGAGACCCCAGCTCGGGATATGGTCTCTGACCAAGCGGCCAGAGAAGTTAGGGAGACGGGGGGTTGGGGGGATGGACAGAGGGCCACGAAGCCAGGTGAAAAACATTATTTAAGGCCAGGTGCAGTGGCTCACACCTGTGATCCCCGCACTCTGGGAGGCCGAGGCGGGAGGATCACTTGAGGCCAGGAGTTTGGGACCAACCTGGGCAACATAGCAAGACCCCATCTCTACAAAAAACAGAAAAATTAGCTGGGCCTGGTGGCGCCTGTAGTGCCAGCTACTCGGGAGGCTGAGGCAGGAGGATCCCTTGAGCCCAGGAGTTGGAGGCTGCAGTGAGCTGTGATGATGCCCCCACACTCCAGCCTGGGAGACAGAGGAAGATTTTGTCTCAAAAAAAAAAAAAAAAAAGAAAAACATTATTTCATATTGACAAGAAGGAGCTATGGACCAAGAGGTAAAATGTCAGTGAACATTTATGCGCCTAACAAGACACCCAAATTCATAAAGCAAAAACCTCAAGGCAGAATCGACAGCTGTCTCCAAAATCTACGGCTTAAGTGGACAGGGGGAGAGTGGACGGGTCAGGGGGAGACGTTCCGCCGACCCCAGCCCTCCTGACATCCTCCAACTGCACCTCCCCACCCTCTTCTGCTCCCACCCGAACCCCTGGCTGGGTTGCCTTCCCGAGGGCCCCTCCTCACCGGACGCCTGGGAGGAGCTCCTGGAGTCTCGGTCACAGCCCTCCCCGGGCGTGGGGGAGAAGACCTCGGGGAAGAGAGCGTTCCTCCTCTCCTCTGCCACCTCCCGCTCCCGGCGCAGCACGCTCTCCACCTCCCTCTCCAGCAGATCAGACGACTGGGACCTCTGCAGCCTCCACGCCGGGTCCCTGGGCCCCTCCCAGCCCCGGACGTGGGGGGCCTCGGCCTGCTGGGGCACATCTGGGGCCCTGAACCGCAGGGGGCGCAGGCGGAAGTACTGCCTCCGCAAGACACCCCCATCGGCTGGCGGGGGTCCCCGGGGGGGCTTCGGGCTCTCCTGCTGTATGCTCAAGGGCTTTCCAGAGGATTCCGAGAGATGCTTCCCGGACCCCACGGCCTTGGGAGAGGACGCAGCCTTGGCCTCCTCCGCGGAGAGGTCCCCAGGCTTGCCGTATGCACTTCCGAGGGCTGAGAGCCCCAGCTGGGGGCTCCCGGGGTTCAGGTATGGCTGGTAGGCGTCAGGCGGGATGCGGTTCACCTTCCTCACCTCTGGCGCAGGGTCGGCTGCTCGGGCGTCCGGGGTGGGGCCGAGGACGGCATCCGAGCTGAGGGCTCTCTGGAGCCCAGGCTGGGAATCCTCCGGGACCCAGTCGGACGCGGCCGGCCGGCCCACCTGCAGGCCCTCCCGCCGGTGGTCCTCCTCGCGCTGGGTGCCTTGCGCCATGTCCCGCTGCACGTAGAGAGACGGGCGCCCCCTGTCCCGCCAGGGCGCAGAGGTCAGGCTCACCCTGGTCAGCAGCGGGCGGGCGCGGATCTCCACCAGCTCCTGGGGGCCGGCCGCCCGCTGAAGCCCCCTCTGCTCTCGCAGGTCTGCCTCGCGCTCCTGGGCCAGGCGGATCTCCCGCTCGATGGGCGTCTCCTTGGGCGGCCCCGGGGAGTCGGCCCGGTCGCCCCCGGCCTGGATTCTGGGCTGTGTGGGCAAACCTCGGGGATGCTTCTCTGCCCCGACCGCCGCCTTCACCTGCGGCTTGAGGGGGACCACAGACCCGTTGGCCAGGTGGGGCCCGTTGGAGGTCTTGGGAGCCTGGCTGGTGCCCGGCGGGGCACGTGCAGGGGGCCCCCTGGCCGGGGTCTTTCCGGGGCCCTGCTTGTTGGCCTGCTCCAGGCTCAGGAACTGCTGCCTCGCCGCCAGGAAGTCGATCTGCTCCCTGTCCACCGCGTCCTCCTCCGGGCGTGGGGGCCGCAGTGGGCCGGGGGGCCGGAGGTCTCCCTGGTCAGGGGTGCCCCGGAGTGTGGCCACCGTGCCGCTCTTCTTGACCGCCTGGCCCTGGACGACGGCCCAGCGCTCCCGCTCCAGGTCCCACGGCCTCCCGGAGAGGGTGTCCTTGGCACCCCGGTGGTACCCCTGCACCTCCAAGTCCTCCTCGTCCTCCGGCTCCACGGCGTAGCTGTGCACGCCCCAGGACACCCCTGTCCTCGCAGCGTCCTGCCAAGCTTCCCCGGGTGTGGGCCATGCCTTCGGCTCGTCCTGGCCCCAGCCGCCGGCCTCGGATCCCACGCCCACCAGCCGGAAAGTGTAGCGGGTGTCCCCGTCGAGCACCAGCCCGGTGACTCGCGGCGAGCCGGGAGTGGCCAGGATGGGGTATCTGGTCACTCGGTCCATCTCTTCGGGGTGTGGAGGCCTCTGGGCGCTCTGAGGGAGGAGGAGAAGAAAGGGGACACCCCGGGTCGGTGTACGTGGCCGGGGGATCACTTCCAGCCCCTCAAAGGCAGAAGCCGCAGCCACACGTATCCACCTCTCCCAGCCACGCTCCCTGTCCGCCCCGTGCTCACGCTGAGACCCTTCTGCGATTATTTTCATTCGACATTTGCAGATGGCCCTTGCTGAGCAATGTCAGGTGGGGAAACTGAGGCCTGGAGAGGGGCAGTGACTGGCAGCGGCTCCAGTTTCCCAGCTCCCACATCCCGATCTCTCCCCTGCACCCGCTCAGCTGGATGCCTTGTCCCATCCCAACCAACACCCCGCCCCCACCCCGCACCATAAAGCCAGGATGGGCAGGGGAACGCCCTGGACCTTGTCATGCTGGGCCCCGGGCGGGGGTGCGGAGCCTCCAGGTGGCACCCTGACCCAGTGACCCTGGCCCTCTCCCAGGGGTCCAGGTTCCAGGAGCCTTCTGGAAGCTCGCACCCCTGCCCTCACACTCCTGTGCTCCCGGCGGCCCCAGGTTGCAGTTCTCCGGCCTGGCCCAGGAGTACAAGCGCACTGTCTGGCCTCAGCACAAACCCCAGATGCCGCGGGTGCCTGTGCTCCAAACCCAACCTCCTCCTGCACTCACAGCTCCTGGCCTCGAGGCCCCGGGAGGGACACCTCCTCCAGGAAGCCTGCCCCGTTGTCCCTCCCCCAGAGCCCATCACCAAGGTCCCTTACATGCCGGGGCCTGCACTGAGCACCCAAGTGTTAGGCGTCACCTTTGACAACCGAGGACAGAAAGGTTCCCTGAGGGCACAGGCACTTTGGAGCTTCCAAAACAGCCCTGTTGCTCCTGGGTCTGCCGGAGCTGTTACTTGGACCGCTGCCTTCACAGCCACTGGGTTTAAGGCCCAGCCGAGCCCAGCCGAGCCTCGATCCCCAGGGGCGATGAACACACAGCCCTGCCCAGACCTCTCCTCGGCGGCCCTGCGCCGACCCCGAAAAGTTGGGCAGGTGTCTGTCCCGTCCCCACACCTGGGGGCTCCCCGGGGAGGGCAGGTGCAGGTGACAGCCAGGGGGTCTGCTGAGTGAGCGGACGCACGTTTAACCCATTAGGATTCAGGATCCATGGCAGACACCAACTGCCCGTGCAGCCTTCAGGGCGCGGGTTCCCAGTGGGGCAGGGCGGGGGTGGGGGTGTCCCTTCCTCCCTGCTCATTCCTCCCAGGTGATTCACTCAGGCCGAGCGAGGCCTGCGGGGTGGGTGGGGCTCACGGCCCTGCCTCAGGTTCAAGGTTACAACAGAGGAAACTGAGGCCCAGAGAGGGGAGGCTGCTGGCCCCAGGTCACACAGCAATGACAGCAGCAGGTACCGATAGGGGCCCTCCTGCCTCTTACAGGAAGCCTCCTGGGCTGATCCACCCCGCCCCGCCCTGCACCTTCCCGATACCTGACTGAAACCAGGTTTATGGTCCCTGGTGCCACATATCTGCTTCCTCATCACGCCACTGGCCGCCCGCCCCGGGCAAAGGCCCCCTGCTGGGGCTGGGGCTGGATAGGGCGGGTCCAGAGCAGGGACCAGGGCTTCTTCTGTTCGGTCCCTTGGGCTCCTGGCCCCATGGGCTCTTGGCAGAACAGAGCCCCCCATGCTTGGAGCCACGCCGGCCCCTTGGGGTCCCAGCCTGAGCCCCTGCCCAGTCCCCCACACCCAGGCTGCGCCCCTCTCTGATGCACAGCTCACAGGTGGAGCCCCCCACCCACCCCAGCCGCACCCAGGCAGAGTCCCCAGCACCCTAGGTGGAGGGAAGCTGCTCCCACCTGGACACAGCCCACCCCTCCTCCCACATCTGGGAACTGCACCCCAGCCCCCCAGGAACTGCCCAGAGCCTCCCAAGCAGGGGCCTGGCCGGTGCCCACAAGCATCTCCCGGAAGTCCCTGGGATTTGCAGAACCACTGGGCCTCTGGGCTCTGGCTGTGGGTGGGCCCACCTGGCCCGGGGTTCAGGGCTTTGAGGCCCAAGGCCTGGGGTGGAAACTGAAGCCCCTGCAAGGTTCGGGGATGGGGCCTCTGCTCCCCAGGGGTGGGGGGCGCCGGCACAGATCTTAAGGTCTCAGATCCAGCCTGGGTGTGGAGTGAAGGAGACCCCCCAGCCTCGACCAGGCCAAGTGGCCCACGGCCCGCCATGCACATGGCCCCCCTATGCCAAACACAGCCCCAGCCTCGCCAGACCCCACCCTACGGGACCCCAGCCCAGCCCCAGCCTCGCCAGACCCCACCCCACGGGACCCCAGCCCAGCCCCAGCCCCCGGCCTTACCAGCCCCTGTCCCCAGAGTCACTGGCCCCCGGCAGCCTCCCAGCCTCGGCTCAGCTCAGCGATGGGCACGGAGGCCTCCCAGCTCTGCCCGCCCACCAGGTTGCCAGGGCACAGAGGCCCCACCCAGGGGAAGCAGGTGTCCCCTTCCTCTCAGCTCCACCTGGGCTCAAGAAACAAAGTCCAGGGGCGGAGGGAGAAAGACGACACCAGGCTGGGCAGGGGCAGGCGCCAGGCCCTGGGCTGCCTGCCGTGGGCCCAGGGCCCCTATCCAGTCCCCTGGAGCCGGAGTTCAGCCTGGAGCCTCCCCTACTGCTGCAGCCCCCTGGGCCTCCCACTGCCTCTCTGCGCTGCTCAGAGGGGCACACCACTTGTCCAGGGGCACACAGCAGCTGGGGACCACAGCTGCCTGCGTCTCCTATGGGGGGAGGGGCTGTCCCGCAGACCCCCGTGCCACCTGGCCCAGCCCAGCCTTTGGGGCCACCCCCTTCCCTGTACAGGCAGGGCTCAGTAGGGCCTGGGCTTGAATCCCCACTAAACTCTCTGAGCCTTGTTTCCTCCTCTAAGAATGGGGACAGCACAGTAGTGGCCCCAGGCCCCTTCCTTGCTTGTAGAGACCAAACCAGGCCATCAAAAGGCCTCAGGGAGAGAGGAGGACACTGAAGGCCCCAGGCATTCACCTTAACCCTAACCCTAACCCTAACCCAGTTCTGGGTCAAGGAACAGAGAACCTGCCAGGGCCATGGGCTGCCCAGCATCTGTGGGAAGGTTGGGACACGGGGCCCAGCACTGTCTACGGGGCGGGGGACACAGTGGAGGTAGCTCAGGCTTCAGTCCCCGAGGCTGGGGCTCTGTCCTGACTTGCCCCTTGGCTGGCTGTGGGACCCCTCTGAACCTCAGACTCTTCTTCCAGCTCCAAATCCAGCAGGGCTGTGTGGCGGGGTGGTGGTGGTTAAAGGACAGATCGAGAGAAAAGCCCACCCCAGAACAACAGCTTGAGCCCCTAACACTGCCGGGAGGCCCAGCCTTCAAGTCCCTCCAGCCCTGATTTGCAGATATGAAACTGAGGCACGGAAAGCTTCAAGTCCTGCCTAAGGGCACAGAATGGCCAGTGGTTGGGCTGGGCTTTGAACCCGCATTCCCTCTGTTGTATGCACTCCACCACGCTCACCTCCTCACATGGGGAAACTGAGGCCCCGGAGGACAACCATCCTCCCCCAGGCTTAGGCTGGCCTCCCACCGGGGTTCCTAAATCCTGTTTTATGGGTGGGGAGACCAAAGCCCAGGGTGGGCAGCAGCTCCTCCAAGACCGCACCGCGAGATGGAATGGGCGGTGGGCTCCGCGAGCACGCAGGCAGGCCCTGCAGATGCCTCCCCCTGCACCCTGTTTCCCAGGGGCTGGTGTCGCCAAGAGCTTGGGTGGTGGCTGCGGGGACCATTCCACCGTCCCTGGGGCTGAATCCAGCCATGGGAGCCTCACAGCCCAAGGACAGGGCGGGGGCAGGTGCAGAACCCCAGGGCCCCACAGGAAGCAGGAAGCAAGTCCTGCCGCAGAGCAGCCGCCCCCCACCCCCACATCCCTCCGGACCTTACCTGTGCAGGTGCGGGCTGGGACTCAGCAACGCCTCCCGCCTCACGGCGCTGGGTGAGCCCAAGGCGTGAGCGTGTGCAAGAGAGGCCCGGAGAGGGGACACCGGCTCCCTGGACCCTGCTTGGCCCCCCCTTTTATGGCCTAGCCGGCTGGTGGGGCCCCACCCCCGGGCCTAGCCACGCCCTCCCCGCCCAGGCGAAAGCCAAGAACTCCAGGAACTGGGGCTGTTCACGCTGTTTATTTGCTCCTCTGGGAAAAAGTCAAGAACATCGGGGGCCTCATCACACATCGAAAGCAGAAAGGGGGCGGCAAGGGCACTTCAGCGAAGGCTCACGGCTTGAGGGACGCGGGCAGACTCCAGGGAGGAAGAGGAGGGGTTCCAGGTCACCCCCAGAGAGGGCCTCTCCTCCCAGCCACCCAGGGCAGAGTTCAGACTGGGACCCAGGCTCCTGTCTGAGGTGGCCCCTACACCTGCCCTGCTGAGGCTGCAGGTGGTCACTGGACCCAGAGGTGGCCTGGGCACTGGGCACAGGCTGGAGGCCCCTAGGGAAGGGGCCAAGACGGAGCCTGGTTGTCCAAAGCCAATACGTGAGAAGAGGGTGTCTGTGAGAATGTGCACGAATGTGCCTCCAGGGACGAGTGTGGCTGCCCCCAGGAGGGGAGCCCCTTGCCACTTCCAGTGAGAGGGGGCTGGGGCAGGCTCACATTGGGCCAGGGGCAGGCTCATATCGGGCCAGGGGCAGGCTCACATTAGGCTGGGTTGGGCCCCTGCTGCAACCCAGGGGGAGCCTTCCTGTCCCAGGCTGCTGCGTCCCTCCCTCCGCTGCCCGGAAATGCTGCAAGCCCATTAGACTGGCAGGCGGGGCCTGATCTCTGGGGTGTGGCTGGCGGGACCCAGGACCCTGGTCCAAGCAGGTTGGAGAAGAGGCCAGAGGTGGCCCCCAGGGTCCCCAAATTAGCACCAGGAGGAAGGAGGGCCCAGTGGGGTCAGGAGCTCAGGACAAGAAGCGGCTCACCCGGTCCCATGACTCTTGAATCGCCTGTCTAGAAGACAGCTCAGGGGCTACAACCCCTCCCGAGGTGGGGGCATGTCTTGGGGCTCCCCTCCCCCAGACTCCATTGTCCACTGGCTGGGCCCAGAGGGCATGGGGGGCACATCAGGCTTGGGGGGGGCCAGAGGGGCCCATCCTCTATCCCAAGACCTCAAGCCCCAAAAGAGGCATGGCCTCACCCCAACTGCCCGAGATTGGGGGGCCAGCGTGTTTGCCGGGGAACTCCACAGAGCCCCACTTCCAGGGCCTGAGCAGGCTCCAGGACCCCTCAGCTCCCCGGGTCCCTCTCCGGCGGAATGTCCCCTCAGAGACCTCATCAGAGGTGGCAGAAAGGCACAGGCGGGAGGCCCAGAGGGTGGCAGGCTGGCCTAGGACTGCACAGAGGCCAGGGGTCATGCCCGCCAGGACCACGCTGGGCGTGAACCCCACATCTGTGAAGCTGCCATGACGGGGGTGGGTGGGGAGGGTCTTTGTTTCAGGAAAAGGGGGTCTGTCCATGTCTCTCTCCTACCAGGTGCAGGTGCACGGCTCTGGCTGGGGTCAGTGTTGGGGTGTGGTGATGGGGGGGCCCCGTCCCTCTTTCCAATGAAAGAAACTCAGAAGGAACACGTGACAACACAGCAAGTCCTGGGGCCCGTGAGGCTGTGGGTGGAGGGTGGGCAGGCGCCGGGAGGGGCCAGGCTGGTGGGTGTCTGTGGAATGGGATGGGGGCCGGGGTCTTGGGGGCTGGGCTGGCTCACATGATCAAGCAGCATTTACAGCGCTGCTTCTTCATGTCAAGGTCCTGGGAGTCGCTGGTGGTGGCCTCAGGCGCTGCCTGATTCTCTTCCCCCGGGCCCGCAGCAGCGGGGGGCTCAGCGGCACTGCCATTGGGTGGCGCGGGCTCCTTGGGCTCGGCCGCATCCTCGATGACCACCAGCTCTGCCGTGATGGTGTCTTGGAGCCCCAGTACCTTCTTGGTCTCAGCTTCATCCTCCACATTCTGGTAGCCCATGAAGATCATCGTGACTGGTGGCTCCTGGCCGGGCTGGATGCCCGGTGGGCCGGATGTGGCCTCCCCCGGCTGTGCCTGCACTCCGGTGATCTCCCGCCGGGAGGGCGTGGTCCTCACGGCCTCCTCTACAGCCCCCCGGGTCTCTGCTGCCCCGGCCGTGGACCCTGCCTCGCTCAGCGTGACCTCGTCCGCTTTGTGGATGAGTTCGTCCACCTCCGAGGAGCTCAGTGGGTGGATCCCGTTCTCAGCGGTACCATCCACGGCATGGACCACTGTGCGAAGAGAGACAGGGGGAGTGAGCTGACACCCAGACGGAAGGGAGGCCTAGGCTCATTCTCAAGGCTAAAGAGGAAATCACAAACTAGATTATACATGTAGGACTGCTTGACAATTAAAGCTCCCTATTAGGATCTGTGGATGTAGCCAAAGCTGTACACAGAGGAAAATTTATAGGCACACAAAAAAACCCCATGTATTAGGAATCAAGAAAAACTGGAAATTGGCTGGTCCGAGTGTAACGGTGTTTACAACTAATTGATCACAAGTTACACATTCCTTTGTTCCTTGTCCACTCCCACTACTTCACTTGCCTAGCATTTGAAAAAAAAGAAAAGAAAAACTGGAAATAAATGAATTGAGATTTTATTGTCTTTCATTTTGAAGTACAGTCGACCCTTGAACAACATGAGTTTGAAATGCGCAGATCCATCTATACGCAGATTTTCTTCCTCCTCTGCCACCACTGAGACAGCAAGACCAATCCCTCCTCTTCCTCCGCCTACTGACTGTGACGATGATGATAAAACTTTTATGACAATCCACTTCCACTTAATACATAGTAAATATATTTTCCCTTCTTTTGATTTTCTTAATAAAATTTTCTCATCTCTAGTTTACTTTATTGTAAGAATGCGGTATACAGTACATATAACATACAAAGTATATGTTGATCAACGGTTTATGTTCTTTTTTCTTTTTTTTTTTTTTTTTTTGAGACAGAGTCTCACTCCGTTGCCTGGGCTAGAGTGAGTGCCGTGGCATTAGCCTAGCTCACAGCAACCTCAAACTCCTGGGCTCAAGCGATCCTACTGCCTTATCCTCCCACGTAGCTGGGACTATAGGCATGTGCCACCATGCCTGGCTAATTTTTTTTTCTATATATTTTTAGTTGTCCAGATACTTTCTTTCTATTTTTTTTAAGTAAGTCTCGCTCTTGCTCAGGCTGGTCTTGAACTCCTGAGCTCAAACAATCCACCTGCCTGGCCTCCCAGAGTGCTAGGATTACAGGCGTGAGCCACAGCGCCTGGCCTGTTTATGTTCTTGATAAGACTTCCAGTCAATAGTACGCTATTAGTTAAGTTTGGGGGGAGTCAAAAGTCATATGTGCATTTTTGGCTGCACAGGGAATCAGCACCCCTGACCCCCATGTTGTTCAAGGGTCAACTGTATTTCTATATTCTTTAGCTAACTAACTGCCACACATTCACCTTGCAAAGTAGGTCTATTTTTTTCCATTGTAAAGACAGCAAAAATGAAAGTTCAGAGAAGGGAAGCAATTATTAGCCAGAGGTCACGTAGCTGGCCAGGGCTAGACTCCTGCTTTTTCCTTCAGCCTAGGCCTATTCCCTCATATGAATGAATACCACCCACCCTGGGAATCTGGAGGTTAGAAGTTGTAGGGATTCCAATACTGTTCCATCTTTGGGTTTATTTGGTGGATCTTGAATTAAAATTTCATTCATTTCACCCAGTCTTTCTTGTTTTCTAGTAAGTGCCATCAAGGCTATACATGGTCCTCTGAGTTCTGCTTTGGCTGCACCCCACAGGTTAGATTATGTTGTTCTCTTTAAAGCATAAATATAATTTCCACTTTGACTGGTTGCCACGTTAAGCCAAGATTTATTTAGAGGGGTGTTTTTTTTTTTTTTAATTTCAAGGAGTAGAGGATAAGACATCAACTTCATAACAGTCCTTATAACCTCCTTGGCAGCCTAGGATGTGGTCACTTTCTGGAAATATCCTACCTGTGATTGGGTAGAGTTTTATATATACAATTAATCTCATTAAATATGTTTCCCAAATTTCTCCAACTTTACTCATCTGTGTCTCTTTGATTCGTCACTTCCTGAGCTGTGCTGGACTCTCTAAGGACCAGATATCAGCACCCTGGAAGGACTCGCAGCTGTGGTCTGACGCCAGCCCTGCAAACTCCTTCTAGAAACACAGCTGTCCTGGCCACATTGGGGTTGGGGGGGTGACAAAAGAGGTGGCCCCAGGGACTTGCCTCCTCTCAACCAAGGGTCAGGGCCCCTGTCCCTGGCAACAAGCCAGGAGGAAAGTTCTCCCCACTGTCTGTTTCCAAACCCCTGGGGAAGGCCATCCATGCTTCAAGGGCTCCTACTGACTTTGGGCTGGAAGCCCAGAGGGCGGGGTGTGTCTTAGTCACACAGAAGCTGGCCAAGTGTTTCCCACCGGCCACTGCCCCAAGATAGGCATCCGAGCCCTTGGCTGCCATGGAAACGGATCACCTTCCCATTGCTAAGCAACCAGAGTCCAGTCCAGCAGGTCCTGAGTCCCCAGGGGCTGGGGAAGGCAGAAGTGGGTGTAGCGGCCTCCCTAAGGGTCTCTCTGTGGAAGATGAGGCCCCAGGATGGTGAGAGCTGGAGCCCATGCCCCAAAGCCACCCTGGAGCTGGGCTGTAATGAGACCCCCTAAGAGAACCCTGGACACTCCAGAGGCCTAAGCTGCCCCTAAGGACACGAGGGTTTGGGAATCAAACCACAGTGCAATAATAAATGCTTCACGCCCACTAGGTCAGCAGCTATAATACTGGCTAATAATAAGTGCTGGGGGGTGGAGAGGCTGGGACCCTTGTCCACGCTTATGGGAACGTGGCGCGGTGCAGCTGCTGTGCAAGACAGTTCGAAGGGTCCTCAAAAAGCTACACATGGAGCATCCGTACGACCCAGCAATTCCATGCCTAGGTACACACCCAAGAGAAATGAGAATATATTAATACAGCCGTACGGAAACTTGTGCAGCATCACGAAGCTTAAAGATGGCAACGACCCAAGTGTCTGTCATTGGATGAGTGGACACACCCAACGTGGTCCATCCACACGTGGAATATCACTCAGCCACGAAAAAGGACGAGGCTCTGACACAGGCCACAGTGTGGATGGACCTTGAGGACGTCGTGCTCAGTGAGAGACGCCAGACACAGAAGGTCACACAGTGTGAGACTCCGTTTATGTGAAACGCCCAGAACAAGCAGAGCCACAGAGACGGGATGTGGATTCGTGGTCGCCAGGGGCTGGGGTAGGGGTGGGCAGTGACTACTGCTGGGGAAGGGCTTCCTTTTGGGGTGACGGGATGTTGTGGAACTTGATAGTGGTGATAGCTGTTCAATTTCAAACACACCAAAATCTACTGAATCGTATACTTTATAAGGCTGAATTTTAGGGTCCGTAAATTACATCGAGAGAGAGAGACTTTGGGGCTTTCGTGCGAGGCCCCCTGCTCCTCCTGGGATCCCTGGCTTCCCCGTGGGCATCTACCATGGCCCGTTCCCCTCTTGGCTGCCAGAAGGAGCCCTTAATGCCAGATGGGATCTCAGCACGGTGGTCTGGGCTCGACCCCCTCAAGGCTTTCCAAGGCCTTCGGGACACAGTCCCACCCTCCACTCCGCAACGGCCCCGGCAAACTCCGTCCCACGCCTGCACCTGCCCTGGCTGGTCCCCAGGCCCTGCCGTGCATCCAGCCACCCCTGCTCCTCTCCACTGAGACGCCCCCCGGCCCCCTCCCCGCCCTGTGAGACCCTCTCTGGGCCCCAGACGCCTCTGCGATTTTCCGTAGCCTTCCTCACAATGGCAGTGGCTGGAGTGAATTATGCATGAGCTGCGGACGGAACGGCGAGGACAGAAGCTGAGTCCACGCCACGGCCTCTGGCTGGGGCCTCTGGTGGGGCAGGGGCAGGGGCGGGGGCTGTCGTACCTTTGGTCTCATCTTCGTAGACTTTGATGCCCTGAGGGAGGGGCTCCCGGGGGAGCAGCGTGGTGCTAGACAGCACCCGGGTCTCCCCCGTCACCTTGTCCTTCTCCACGGTGATCTCCACCGAGTACATGGCTGGCACGAGAGTCGCGGGGTTACGCCACGGCCCCCCGCCCACGTGCCCCCCGCCGGGCTGCCGCCAAGCCGGGAAAGGGGCAGCCAGCAGCGCAGAGCCAAGCAGCGACACCCTTCTACAGCTCCGCAGTGCCCAGGGCGTCCGGTCTGAGTTCCTCTGCTTGGCATTCAAGGCCCAGCCTCTGCCCCGCCACCCTCTGCACACCGTCCTCCACTGGGCCGCCCGGCTCTGGTCTCCTAAGTCCGGTTCTGTCTCGGCCACCTGCAAAGCCTTCACTGTTCTCCTTCCTCAGAGCACAGCAAGTCGGAGGGAGGCCCTGCCCCGCCCGGGGTCGTGGCTACCATTTGAACTCGCGTCTGCAGACCCGCAATCCCCAGCCGGACCTCTGTCTGTCCTCCGAGGACAGCATCCCACCCGCCATCATCACCACAAAGCCACACAGAGGCTGAGCCCCAGCAGCCACCACCCAGGCCCGCTCTAGGAGGAACAGGCCCCCCGAGTGCTGGGGGCCACTGGGCCCGTGGTCACCAGGTTCTCCTCCTCCTGCCGGCCTCTGAGGCTCAGGCCCAGTTCCACCCGGCCTCTGCTCCACGCCGGGACCTTGCCCAGGCCCCGGCTGTCATCACCACCATGAGCCAAGGATGCCTGCAAGTCCATCTCCGCCGGACCTCACCCTGGACTCGACTCCTTCCCACCGCCGCCTCCATGGCTGCCCCTGGGGTCCCACGGGAGCCCCACGCTCACATGTCCAAAACCCCACTCCCGATCTGCCCCCTGCACCTGCCCCCCCAGGCAGCTCTGTCCTCCCCGCCTCCCTCCGTCTCTCCCACACCCATGCCCTGTCCGTCTGCACACCCTGGGGGCTCCACCTTCAGAATACCCGGGACGGCCGTCACCCGGCCGGGCCCCATCATCCCCCCAGAACAGCCCAGTCCCCTCTGCCCTGGTCTCCCAGCACCACCCATGGTCTGGTCTCCCTGAAGCCACCAGAGGGAGCCTATGAGCACCCTGTTGGGTGAGTCCCTGCTCTGCCCACAGCCCTCCACGGCTCCCACCTCCCTCCTCCTGCACGACCTGCCCCGCCCCCTCCCCACCTTCCCCTCCTCCCTCTCCCCATCCTCACTCTGCTCCAGCGGCAGGGGCTTCCTCGCTGTGCCTCCAACACGCCAGCCACACCCTGCTCCAGGGCCTTTGCACAGCTGTGCCCTCTGCCTGGAACACCCTTCCCTCAGATATCTGCCCGTCCTTCCCCCTCACCTCCTCTGGGTCTTTGCTTAAATGCTGCCTCTTAAGTCAGGCCTCCCCTGAGCCCTGCGATTTAAATTTCTTCCTCCCTCCAGCTCCCCATTCTCTGCCTTACTTTCCTCCCTAAGTTATTGTATAGGCTCCCCCAGGCCGTGTCCCCCAGGCCTGGCACACAGCAGGAGCTCAATAAGCACTAGAATGAATGAATGAACGAATGATTGTGATTCGATCCCATGTCCCTGCACAGCCTAACACCTCCACACCCAGACATCTACTCTATGTCCAGGGCAGCACACACAGTTGAGCAGGTTGTGCACTGCACAAAGTCACTAGCTGAGAGGACCAGTGCGGGCGCCTGGCCTCAGTGTTAGCCAGGGCTGGTCTAACCACACAGGGGCCTTGATGGCGTCCCCCCCTGTGGGAGATGCCACCCTCCATCTCTTGCCTCCTGGGGCAAAACCCCCACTGGGCCGTGCAAGAGACCTGGCCCTCCCTCCCTTGGGAGCCCCAATTTGTCTTCGCTTCCTTTCCTTGGTTTTCTGCTACTCCAACTTACTCCAAAAACAATAGTTATAACTTATCTTCATCATTGCTCCTGTTTTATGCCAGGCCCCGGGCGTGAGGTCAGCACAATTCCACCCCTCTGGCAGGTGGAGACATTCAAGGCACCACACATCACTCGGAGAGAGGGGACTCGAACCCTGATCTCGCACCCTGCATGACTCAGCACTAACTCTGACTTTCCCCTGCTCCTGAGAAGAGCAGTAGTGCCAGAGAGCTGGCTTGGTCCCCCCCAGGCACGGGGCGCTCACTCTCTCTCCCGAGGCAGCCAGTCCTGCTGCCCGAGGACGGCGGAGCAGGTAGGATGCAGCGAGCGTGTTCAGGCGTGAGCACCCCCCGCACGCGCACGGCAAGCCTTGAGGTTAAGGCGGAATGACAGCCACCGGCGGCGTCGGGTTAGAGTGGCCATGCACGAGGGCCCGTCTTCTCGGGGAAGCGTGGGCCTGCGTGTGACCAAGGCACCCAAGCAGTGCGGCATCCCTGGCCCCGCCCAGCCTCGGAGCCATCACCCCCGTAGCCACAGCCCCCACCAGACACTGCTGCGGGTGGGTCTGTGTCACCCCCACCCCCCAGCCCCCCCAGGACTGAGGTACAGCGCTGGGTGGTGGCTGGATTTGGGGGCCAGAGCCTGGGGGCCAACCCACCTGCCTTCATCATGGTGGAACCTTCGACCGTCCTCACTGGAGTGTTAGAGACTCGCTTCTCTGCGCAGGAGGCGGAGGGTGGAGAGAGAGAGAGGAGATCAGAGGGGACATGGTCACGAGGGCCCCCCAGACACCCGAACGCCCTCTCACACACATGCATCTGGACCCCCCAGACCCCGGGAACCCCCATACACCCGGCCCCCGGTCCATGCTCATCTCTCAGCCCAACAATTGTCACAAAATCCCTGAGAGGCCTGCATGGATTTTTTTGTAAATTATTAATTTTTAATGCTCCAGTAAGACAAGGAGACACTCTCCCCATGAATAATTAACACACAACAATCAGGCCAGAGACACTCCAGGCACCACGGCCAATCCCAGCCGGTGGCTTTCTCCTTCCCTGCTTGTGATGTGCAAACACACACGTTTAACGTATGTTCTTAACATATAATTTATGTGTAACAAATTTCCTACATTTAATGATATATGTAATAAGCTATGATATCTAATCTAAGAATATATATTTCTTTTTTTCTTATCTTTTTCCTTTTTTTTTGAGATAGAGTCTCACTCTGCCACCCAGGTTGGAGTGCAGTGGTGTCATCAGAGCTCACTGCAGCCTCCAACTCCTGGGCTCAAGCGATCCTCCTGCCTCAGCCTCCCCAGTAGTTGGAACTACAGCGCCACCATGCCCGGATAATTTTTCTATTTTTTTATAGATGGGGTCTCACTATGTTGTCCAGGCTGGTCTCGAACTCCTGGGCTCAAGTGATCCTCCTGCGTCAGCCTCCCCAGAGTGCTGGGATTACAGGTGTGAGCCATCGCGCCCAGCCAAGAATGTATATTTAAATGTCAAGATGTGAAATATTGGCAAACATGTATCATTTATCTGCAATAATTTGAATGTAGAGTGTGCATAAAATGGGCCACAGAGTTCAAACTGTTGCTTTTTTTCTTCGTCTGTGCTCAAGCTTCGGGGTGCCTGTGTGGGATCCCTGTCCTGTTCAATGGAGCCTGGTCCCAGGACAGGGTGGGCCTTTGTCAGAACATGTGGACCCAGGGCCTGTGGACACAGCCAGGTGGGACCTTCACAAGACATGCCCAACCCCAGCCTCAGTTTCCCCCAGGTACTGGGGATGCTGCAGTTCCTCCCCCAGGAATGTTGCGGAAACTGAGAGAAGGGATGGCAAACAGCGCTGGGTATGACCCAGGCCCAAACCCAGGACTCAAGGAGAAGCGTGATAACAAGGAATCATTGCTGCTATTACTGTTATTTATTATTGAACAGCAACAACAGCAACTGACCCTAACCCTAACCCTAACCCTAACAACCCTAATCCTAAACCCTAACCCTAACGCTCCATGCCCGCCATCCCCACTCCAGCCACCAGAGGGCGCAGAGGCCCCACGTGCCTACCTTTGGGCGTGCCCACTGGGGTCTGCAAGAGAGAAGAGGAGGGGTCAGGGGCGTCCTCCTGTGGACCAGGGTCCCAACCTGCTGGGAAGGGGCTGGTGCAGTGGGTGACACCAGATGCACCTGCTTCCCATCTCTCTCGGAGTTCAGGACAGAAACGCAGGGGTCCCCCTCCCTGCGCACCCCCCTCAGCAGGGCCTGCAGGTCACCCTGGAGCCAGGCACCGCCGTCACCTCCTCCCAGGTGCTGTCTCCCATCCGCTTGACCCTGGGTGGTCAGACCCCCGCCCACGAGCCTCCCCTTCCCCTCCCCAGCTGTGCCCAGCCCCCCGACCACCCAACCCCCTTCCCCATCATGTCACTGGGCCGTGTCCTTGGAGGTTTGCTGCTCCCTGAAGTTACTGTGTCATTCACCCAGCCGGGGCCTGTCTCTCCCCCAGGGCGTGGCAGGGACCACGTATGGGTACTGCTGGGTCTCCCACGCCAGCACACAGTCCACGCTCAATCTACCCTTAGTGAAAGATACCTAGAGAACTCCTACTCAACCTTCACAACCCACATCCTCCAGGAAACCTGTGCCGCCCTCCTGAGAATCAGATGCTTCCGGATGCCAGCGATGCCCCTCCCAGGCTCCGTAGGGCCCCTTGAGCCCCAAAGACAACGAACGCGGCTGGGACACTTCTGGATTCACGTTAACACACTGTGGTGACCACAAGTGTGGCGCCCACGGTCTGGTATTTTTACAGAGACAGGGTCTCGCTCTGTGGCCCAGGCTGGAGGACAGTGGTGTGATCACAGTTCACTGCAGCCTCCAACTCCTGGGCTCAAGCAATTGTCCCTCTTTGGCCTCCCAGAGTGCTGGGACTACAGGCGTGAGCCACCATGCCCAGCCCAGGGTCTGACTTTAACACAGCCTGGCACAGACGTCAGATCCCGGAATCAGTGGGTAAGTTCACTAAGAGACCGCGCCGCTGTGTCGCCTTGAGCCAGTCTCTCAACCTCTCTGGGCCTGGGCTTTCCATGTCCATCAAACAGGGACACCGTTCACCCCAGACGGGCCGTCGGGAAGATCAGACAGGGAGATGTGTGCGTATACAGTCGATCAAAATAACAACAGCAGCGGTGAGTAGGTGGCACTGCTCAGGGTCAGGTCTCGTGTAAAGTGCTCACTGTCCATGCATTCGCGGAACCCTCACGACATGCCCAGTGGAGGGGTGCGCTGATTGCTCCCCCATCTTACAGATGGAGAAGCTGAGGCCCAGAGACGGAAAGCAACCTGTCCCGGGTCACACAGCTGGGAAGTGGCCCAGTTGAGACTCAAACGCAAGCACCAGCTCCCATGCGAGCTGCCCCCGCGGCCACGCCGGCAAGGACATGGACAGGGCGAGGTCTCACGGGGAGGCCACCCTGGGACCCACCCCTTTCTCCTCCTCACCTGCTGGGAGTTCAGCACCACCTCTGCCTTGGGCTCCTCCCTGGCGGGGCTGGGGGCCGGTGCTCGGGCGGGGCTGGGGGCTGCCGCGTCTCCACTCTCCAGCACCTCGATCTCCTTCTCCAGCCTGGGGGAGGCGCGTGGGTGAGAACTCACCGGCACGTCCGCATTCCCAGCCCTGTCCTGGGGCTTTCTGTGGGACAACTCCCAGGATCGAGCGTTCCCTAACGCCCCTGTGCGGTCTTCTCACCATACCCCTTCACGGTGGGGGAAACCGAGGCACAGAGTGAAGACGTCACACGGGCCGCCAGCCGTGGCGCAGGGATTCAAACCTCCCAATTTGTCTCAAACAAACCCTCCTTTCCTTTCCACTGGAATTCACGTGTTTTCACAGGAAACGTTATCTCTCCAGGGAGAGTGGAAAACCGTGTCATTTTCCAAGTACTGGAAGATAAAAGGACCAACAGATCCAGCAAAAACAAATCCGGGATATTAAATCCCAGCCACTGGCTTTGGTGAGGGCGGGAGTGAAAGGTAGCTCCCAGAGGTGGGCCCAGGTCGGCAGGTGGGACGCAGGGCCGGACATCTGTTCCCCCACCGCAAGGAAAGGACTAGAGACCGCGGTCAGCCTGGAGGGCTTCCAGGAGGAGGTGTCTGGGCAGGCAAAAGGAGGGTGGAAGAGCCCCAAACTGGATCTGGTTCAGCACCCAAGAAGTGGCTGCCCTGGGGCGGAGGAAAGCGCAATCAGGCTAAAGAGAGGCCATGGCCCCTCCACTGCGGTGCCAAGCCTGCCGCCCCGGGGCTGTGCCCAGCAGGGGTGGATGGAGCAAGCCCCGTGATGCCCCTGACCCTGCACCCACCTGGCATGGGCCCATCTCCCAGCAGACCCACCCTGCCCCAGGGCCAGGCCCGGCTCCGCCCGCCTCCAGCCAGGCACACAGACAGTGCTTAATGTTTACTGGAATCCTCACCTCCCGGGTTCACAGGAAACTGAGGCTCACGGAGGTGGAACTGCCCCCACCCAGCCCTGCCTTTAAGTCCCCCTACCCAGGGAGAGAAGTCCCAGCCCAAGGTACCCCCAGGACGTGGTGGGGGCGGGGACACCACGGGGCAGAGACAGCAGCCAGCAGTGGCCAGGCCGGGCCAGCGTTCCGCGTGACCCGGGCAGGCCTCCGCCCCCTGGGCCTCTTCCATGGCCAGAGCAGGCCATGGAACTCTGGTCGTCACTTCCCTCCGCCCCGACCCGCAGCCCCAAGCGGAGCCTGGGACTCCCGCGTGCCGGAAACTCCAGGCCTGCGTCCCACCGGCCCCACGGGACGACCACGTTCCCCATCCTGCCCCTCCCCGGGGCTTCCTGCAGGCCCAGCTGCCGCGGCCTCTGCAGCCTCCGCTAGCACCGCGCAAGCCGGCTGGGCTGGCGCCAGGAAGCCCCGGGGGAGGCCAGTGCCGGCAACTCCCATCCGCGGGGACCCTGGCGCGCCCCGAGCCCACGTCCCTCACACATCTGCTCAGACGGGGGTGTCGGGGGGGGGCGAGGGGCAATGCTCAGTCCTGGGCCCAACAGGCCACCCCCCGCCACCCGGTCAGGGCCAGGGCTCCGGCCTGCGCGCTCTGCCCACCCACCTGGAGATGGAGCCCTCCAGGAGCTGCGCCTTCTGCTGGTCCTCCTGCATCTGCCGCCTCAGGTCCTCGTCACCCTCCGAGGCCGAGGACGGCGTGCCCTCCAGCAGCCAGCGCTCCCGCAATGCCTTGGACTGGGGCGGCAGGAGTCCAGGTCAGGGCCAGGGCTGGGGCCGCCTCCGCCCCGCCACAGCCGCCCTCGGGGGCCACCCCCGCCCCTACCTTCAGGTGCTGCAGCTGCCTCCGGTCGTCCTCCAGCTGCCGGCGCTTGTTCTCGATCTCCGCCTGCCGCTTCCGCTTCTCCTGAGGGGGACAAGGGGTCGGCGTGGGGGCCTCGGAGACCCCAGCACACCTGCCTGAAGCCCCACCCAGGGGGACCCTGCATCCCGCAGGCAGAGGCAGCCGGTACCGGAGCCCATCTGCGCTCCACCCCCAAAGGCCATCTCCCTGCGTGGTGAGGGCAAGGCTCTACTAAATGCCAGCCTCAGTTTCCCCCCTACCCAGCAGGTAGAGGGAGGGCCAGTGGCCTAAGGAGTCGGAGGTCTCCACACTCATTTCCATTCTGAGTGGAGGTGTCAATGGGACTCGAGCTTGCAAAGCAAATACTGCGCCCCTCAGCACACCTTGGTTCTGGGTCCCAGCCGGGTGAGGGGTGCCCCTGGGAACCCAGGCCCCGCCCCCCACGGGTCACCCTGTCCCAGGCTGGGAGGAACTCACTGCAATGGCCTGGAGCCGCTCCTGCTGGGACGTGGTCTCTGCTGCCAGGACCCTGCGGGAGGGAGAGAAGGTTAGCCTTGGTTCGCCCAGCCCTGCTGTCACTGGATGAGGTTCGAGTCTCGGCCCTGTCTCTTCCCAGCTGGAAACCACCCAGGAAAGTGATTCCTGCTAGGAGCCCATTGTCCTTTCTGCACAGTGGGACCTTCCCTGCCTCCTTCAGGACCAAGGGAGCCACAGCAGGAAGGGGAGAGGCTCTGCCTAGCAACCAGGAAGGGTTGACGGAGAAGGAGGCATCCAGGCTGGGCCATGAAGGATGCATAGGAGTTCACAGGAAGGATGCATCAAATGTGTTTCAGGAAGAAGTGTGTCACCTCACGGCCAAGACTATTTGACTGATCGGAGCGGCCCTCACTGTACCCTCCTGCCCACTGAGCCCTATTCTGTAGCCCCAGGAGGGGCACACTCAGGATGGGACACCCACCAGCCTGGCCACCCAATCCTGGGCTTATAATGTCAATGATCCCATCCTGGGACTTCTGGGTGCTTCTCACACCAGCTTCCACTGGAGTCTCCCAGGTCCCCAAAGGCCCAGAGAGGGCAGTGAGCCTCCCAAGGACACACAGCCAAGAAGCAAAGCCAGGATTCAACCCCAGACTTTTGCTCTCATCCAAGCAATGTCTTTTGAGAGCCTGCCCTGTGAGGTTTCAGCCTCAGCCCCCAGGACTAGTATGTAGTAGGTGCTTAATAAACATCAGTGTCGCCAGATACTCCTGAAGGAACATGGTTTCATGCTGTCGAGGTTACGGGCCCTCCATGGGGTTGGCGGGAGGCCCGGGAGCCTGAAGAGTGTGTCTTCCCTGCCCCACACCCTGGCCTGTGCACTTCCCCGACCCCTGCTAGGCACCAGCTGTGTACTCACTCACTTAGGACAGAACCCTGAGGGTTAGGGTTAGGGCAGCACCCTGCCCCTGCCGCCCACTCCTAACCCTAACCCCCACCTGGCAGGAGGGGAGGGGAACTGACCCTTCCCTCCCTCAGTCTCCTGCAGTGTCCCCCAAAGCTGCATGCTGTAGAAGCTTAATAAGATGCAGGGACCAATGAAGAACTGAACCAGCACCGAGCTCAGGCCTTCGCTCACCTTGTGAGGGGCCTGCCGACAGCCTCCTGCTCCCAGGGCTTGCGGCGACACAGGGCGGGGAGAGGAGAGTGTGGGGGGGACCCTGAACTCGCATAGGGAGTTTCTGGGTTGTCTGCCCCAAATCCTGAATGGTCCCAGGGACTGTCGCCCGCTCTGCGCTGCGCCAGCGGGTGGGAAGCCCCGTGCAGGGGGCAGGGCCTGGCAGGACCGAGGGGGTGTGAGCCTGGGAGCCAGAGTCTCCCAACCCCTGATCTTCACAGAGACTGAAATTACAGCCCGTCCTTTGGTTCCGCCGCCACCCCCAACACCCCCAGCCTGGTGTCAGGGCCCGGAGCCACTTGAAGTTTCAGAAGAGCCCCCGCCGCCCACCGGACCTCAGTTTCCCATGTGCACACATACAGAGACACAGACATCTCCAGCTCCAAACCCTCCTAATGCCACCCCCTGGTTCAGCAGGGAAACAGAGGCACAGCGTGTTGCTTTGCCCCATGCCCCAGCCCAGGAGGCAGCTCCCGGGTGGAGACCTACCCCGGAGCCCACGCTGCCTGCCTGCCCGCCCCCACTGGGGCTCAGTTTCCCAGCATTGTGGAGGCCTGTGAAGTCGCCGAGCTCCCATGCCCCAACAGGTGACCCCGTCTGCTCCTCCCTTCCTGGAAAGTGTCACCTACCCCTCCCTCTCTGTGCCACCAGGGAGCTGGGAGTACCAGCCACACCCTCTGCAGCTTTCCCTTCCCCCTCCTCAGGGAGGCTGGGTTCAGCTGGGTGCAGTTCAGGAAAGGCTTGATCCAGCTTTCTGGTTTGGGGGCCCTTCCTGAATGGCCAGATCAGCTAGAGCTCTTGGTCTGCTCTGTTGCGCTGTGTGAAGCAGGCAGGGTGCCCTCTGCTGTGCTTCCCCATGAGGCCTAGCCCCTCACTTCCTGCCAACTCCCATACCCCGCAGCAACCCCTGCTGCCTCTCTGGCCCCCCACACTCTCCTCTCTACCCTACAATCAGAGGCAGCTTCTCAAAATGAGACTCAGACCCTGTCACGCTCCTGCTCCAAAGCCTCCCTTGGCTCCCATTCGCCCTTGGAAGAACCATGATGCCAGTCCATTCCCCTCCCTACCCTCACCCCTTTGGTCTCCCCTTCACTCACTCTGTTCCAGCCGTCGGGACCTCCTAGTTGTGTACCAAGCTCAGTCCTACCTCAGGGCCTTTGCACTTGTAGTTTTCCCTTCCCACGGTTGGAAACCAGGTGCGGAGAGGGCAAAATGAGGCAGGCAGTGGCACAGCTGGATTCAAATGACCACCCAGCTCCAGGACCCACCCCGGTTTTCCATTCCAGGGACCCGTCCAGGAATGAGCAGAGCTGGGGCAGGAAGTCGACCTAGCAGCCAGGACCCTAGGGCACAACGCCTGTCCCCTCTCCAGCGGGCAGTTGGCCATCCAGGCTGGACACAGGGACATAGGGCCTGCTGTGTGGCTGGCTCGACGGGCCGCAAACAAGGAGAGCAGTGTCCTCTCCGGGTGGCCTGTCCCTGCTGGCCTGAGCCGGGGCAGGGATAGGTCAGGCGGGAAACAATGTCCCCATCGAGGCCCAGGAAGAGAGCTCCCATCGCTCCCCACTCGTGTCCCCGCCACAGACCGAGGGCGCAGGCCGCGCGCACCCCTTACCCCCTCCCCAAGCCCGGGGGCGCCAAGCCGCCCCACTGCCCCGGGCGCCGCAGCCCCGGGTGATGGATGGCGGGCCCGCGGGAGGCGGTCGCCCTGGCAACCGCACCGTCCCCATGGCAACGCGGAGGCCCGGCACGCGGGGGCGGGGCCGGCGCTGAGCATCCCCCGCCCTGGGCCTCAGGGGCTGCCTGGAGAGGGCGGGGTCTTAGCCGCCCCCACGACTGGGGGTGCGAGGGGGCTTCCTGGTCTGGCTTCGAGGGGAGTGCGCCCCGGAAGGGGCTCCACCGCCCCTGGCGCCAGGTCCACAGGTCAATCCAAGAAAATGCTCAACTTGCCAAATCCGAAAAATAAAGCAAAATCCAACCCTAAATAGCGCTAATAAAACAGCAATGAAATAAGAACGCCTCCCCAGCGCTCGCTGCCTCCTGCGGGCCGGGCCAGCCCAATTTCACAGACGGGGGAACCGAGGCCGGGCGTGGGGCGCGGGGCGCCTGGCGGGCAGGGCCAAGCAGGGCCAAGCTTCCATCCGGGCCAAGCTTCCAGCCACCTGACACCCCCAGCCCTGGGGTTGTCACCCCGTCGTGTCCAGGGAAGGGGCTGGGCCTGCACCCCGAGGTCCGGCTCCAGCGCAGGGTCCCCCCAAGTCTGGCCGGGGGTGGGGCGGGGGGTGAGGCCAGATCACAAAAGATCTTACATGCTGGGTGGAGAAGCTGAGTTTCTCGCCCAAAAGGCCTGGGAGGGTTTAGGACAGGATGGCAGGTGCCCCCGCTGGCGTGTCCCGGGGTAGGTCACTCTCGTATCTGGGCCTCCACTGGCTGGGCCAGGCAGTTGGCAGCAGCTCAGGGCCGCCCGTGGGGGGACACGCCCTCCGCCCCGATGCCCACTCCCAGCGCACGCAGGCGTTCCGTCCTCGCGGGATTATTTTTACGGCGCTTGGAGCAAATTCTGGGCTCGCGTCGCGATGTAGGCGGCCCAGGACCCAGCGAGGGCGTCGTCTGCGAGCGCGTGAGATAATCCGGCTCCAGGAGATGAGCTAATAAGGTCCAAACCCAACAAGATCCCGGCAGAGGCCTCCACTTTGCCGGGCGTTTATTTTTGAAAGGCCCAGAGAGGTTACGCAACCAGCCCAAGGTCACGCAGCGGGCAGGGCGGGCCATCGTCTGGAGGTGTGTGTATGGGCGGGGGGCGGGGGGTGGGGCGTTGCACTTGTTCTTCCAGAGCCCACGCCCGGGCAGCTCCAGCCAGAAAGAGGGGGTCCCTGCCCCGGCAGGCGCGGAGCCCAGCGCCGGGAACATTCCTGATGCTAATTGAAAGGAAACAGCTGACGGTGACCTTGGCCATGGGGGGGAGTCACGCGGGGCTGGGAGGTAGGGGTGAGGGGGAGCCCGGCAGCCCCTTCCCCCACTGGACAGGGGATGGAGGGGGGTGTTCGGATTCCAGTGGCTGCTTCTCACCTCCCAGCCCTGGCAGCCCCCTGCCTTCCCTCTGCCACCCCCCTGTCCTGCTCCAAGCCTGCCCACATTCCAGCCCCAGCGTCCGCCCCTCACCCGCCATCAGCTTGCATCCTCCCCTGCTCCCTCCTCCCCCTCCAAGATCCGCTCCAGCACCGCCGCCTCCTCCAAGAA